ACTACATCTTCCATTGCGACTGCCGAGCTCAACAGCCAATCGGATCCCATTGCGAAAGAAGTACGTGCGATGACGTTGGGGAGCATTGCAAGAGCCATTTGGTTTCAAGACACCCGCCTCGCCACCGCCATGATAGACAACGCCGAGCTTGCCGCGAACCGCCCGCAGGTGCAGAGCGGGAACGCGCCCCTGTCCGACCCCGCTGCCTTCAAGCTGGAGACAGACACCACCCATGCAGCCCTCGTTGAAGAGCGCGAGGCCAAGGCCGCCGCCCGCTCACGTGCTGCCTACGCCGAGTCGAACACGCAGTTGGGCGACCGCTGGAGGCAGAAAGCCAGACGGGAAGAACGGCGAGCAGAACAGTGGAAACCGTTTTCCAAGCGTCTCATCCTCACGGGCAGTAGGATCGCGGCAGGATCGAATGCCAGCATCACGACAGACCCAGGTTCCATGCACTCAGCCATCATGAACCACTGGGCCCCGATCTTTGCCGCCAAGCACGTCGACGAAAATGCCACCACCGACTGCCTGAACAACATCCTCACCCAACGCCCTAGACGTGGCCCACCTGTCCCCGATGCCGCCTGTCTTGAACGGGCCGCCCGCCATGCCCATGATTCAGCACCTGGACCTGACCGACTGCCATACCGTGCCTGGTTACAAACTCCATCCATCTACAACGTGCTCGCCGACCTCGCCGAGGACATTTCGGACCCCGGCTCTGTCGCGCTGCCGTTCGACCTCAACTTCTCGCTCATGGCGATGCCCCCCACGCGCGGCGAGCCCCTCGGCATCGCGGAGTGCACGCGCACGCCTGACTGCCTGCGCCCGCTCTCCATGACAAACACAGATATCAAATTATTGGTTCAACTTCCAACCGATCTCTTCATGCCATCGCTGCTGACACAGCACATGAACAACAAGGTTTCGCGCAAGGACGCCAATTCCTGGGCGACGCGGTGGCGGTGGGCACCGAGGGCCGCCGCCTCAGCATGCATACCGAAGCGAAGGATGACAAGCCCGTCTTCATAAGTATGGATATTGCAGCTGTGTTCCCGAGTCTCGGACATCAGCGGCTACGGATGGTGCCTTCACGTGGGGGCATCGCTGGCCGTATGCTAAAGCTCCTGCGCGCGTGCTTCTTCCTGCCGCTGACCTACCTCGAGCTGGGCGGGATCTCGAGGCTGCTCTTCATTGCCGCCTCGGGCGTCGCGCAGGACTGCCCCTTGAGCGGCGCCATCTGGGCGCTCGTCTTCGACCCATTCGTACGAGCGATCAGCGCAGAACTACGAGCGATTCGCCGAGGACTGGTGGGTGCCTGTGCCGACGATCTCGGCATCAGTCTCGCCCGACTCCGTGATCTCGCTCGAATGGCCCCTCATCTTGTTGCCGCGTAGCTACTGGCAGGGCTGGAACTTCAAACCAAGAAGTGTATCATAGTGCCGGCGTGGGCGCCCCCCAATGTGACGCTGCGCGACAAGACCCGCACGTTCCTGACACAGCTCCACCCTCCATGGCAGACTTTCAAGGTCGAAGCGATGGCCCGCTACCTCGGCTTCATGGTTGGCCCTGGCGCGGCGGTTCTCGACCAGTGGAAGTGCCCGACCAGCAAGTGGTGGGACCGCATCGAGAAGCTCTCGATCTCGCACGCCCCGCTCCGGATGTGCATCAAGCTATACAACGTCGCCGCTGTGACCTGCCTCTCCTGCATCGGCCAACTGCACGAGCCCCCGCCCACCCTGCTCGCGAAGGAGCTCCAGGCGATCCACAAGCTGCTGCGTGCCGCCCCCAACTGCTGCGCCAAAGCCGACATCCAAGCCATGACCCTCTGGGCCAACGTCGAGACCCCCAACGGCATAGAAACGCTCCTCGCTGCTACGATGTGGAGGACTGCCCAGGTCACCATCAAGAACTGGGCCCACCTCTACGACGAGCTCCACGAGACCGCCGCCTCTGAGATCCAAACGCGCGACGTGGTCGAGGGCCGCTGGTGTGCCCGCTGCTGGAAGGACCTTCTGTCGACTGTGCAACGGCCACATGGAGTTCTCTCGTCCGCGTACTTCGCCGAGGGGAAGGGCTCCACGTACAAGCGGACCCTACGCGACTCGGGCAACAAGTCTCGTGCACGCGACGCCCTTCGCAATGCGCGCAAACACGCTGTTCGCCAAGGCTTCAAAGCTGCCCAACTTGCCGCCGCATGCGTACATGATGACGCCCCACGCCGCCGGAAACGCACCCCAAAGAAAGCATGCCAGATAGCCTTGCAGGAGAAGCTGTACACCGACACCATGCACCTCACGATCAAGCGTCGCCTTCTTTCTTGGTTCCCCGCCTCCTCCTCCTCCTCCTCCTCCTCCTCCTCCTCCTCCTCCTCCTCCCCCTTGTCCTCCCATCATGTCGCCGTGCACGCGCCATTGCAGGAAGTGGTGCGCGCGGGACAGGGTGAGGGCTTAACCGCTTTGCGCGCTGGCCCCCCACTGACCCCCCTCCTTTCCTGCACATCCCGTGCTTCGCCGCCTGAGAAATATCCGTAAGGGCTTCGCCCCTTGCAGCCAGCCCCTTCTTTCGGAGAATGGGCAATGCAAGAGCGGAAGCATGAGGCCTTGGCACCGCCGTGAAGCAGCGTCGGGACTTCACGCGAAAACGGTGAGTAATCGGCAAGACAAACTGTTTTTTGGTAATCGGCAAGACAAATTGAGATTCTGGTGATATTGTTGAATTCGGGTTTGTATTTCGAGGGTTTCTGGTTCCGGACACGCGATTATCGCGTAATGTACGTTTATGACTTCGGGATCGCAGATATAGCGTAACTTACGCCGGCTTATGGCTTCGGAGACGCGAATATCGTGTAACTTACGAGGGTGTATAGCTTCGGGCACGCGATCATCGTGTAATTTACAAGGGCGTATGGCTTCGAGGTCGCAAGTATTGCGTCATTTACGCAGGTGTATGTATGGCTTCGGAGACGCGAATATTGTATACATTACGAGGGTGTATGGCTTCGGGGACGCGAGTATCGAATGGTTTACGAGCGTTTGTGGTCTCGGGGACGCAAGTATTGCCTGATTTAAAAGGGTTTATGGCTTCGGGGGCACGAGTACGGTGTACTTTGCAAAGGTGTATGGTTTCGGGGACGCGAATATTGCGTAATTCGCGAGGGTGTATGGCCTCGGGGACGCGACTATTGTGTAATTTACAAGGTCGATGGCTTCGGGGGCGCGAATTTCAAGTATTTTCACATGTCCCACGCCCCCCAGGAATTCAAAGCACCCGATTCGGGCGTGGTAGCTAGGTTCCTTCTCGGTTCCCCCCACTCGCGCGGTCCATCAACAAGGAACAGTAATCAGCAAGAAGCAGAACTGTAACAGTGGAAACTGGAAACGGGAACTGGCGCACGGAACAGCAAACCTTGGTCTTACAGCCTGGTGGCCCCACAAGGGGGCCGGCGGATTCAGACCCGCCAGCCGTCAGAGATCCCGAGTTGTCTCTGCCTAAGCTGTTCTTTCTTTTGAATACGAAAGTTTTTGGCGTGGTCTTCGCCGTCGACGTCGTTATTCGCAGCACTGTTGGCATGATTGCAACCATCGCTACATGCTCCGTAGCCAACTGTAGCCAAGCTGGTGAGTGGGTCAGGGCATCTTTGGGACGCCCGTGCACTTCCGACGCGCGCTTGTCGCGAGGGGCCGCTGCCAGCGTTTGCCGCCAGCCCTGGACTTCACCATGGCGCAGTTGCATCTTGATGGGTCAGTGACGTTCATTTCGGCGGCACGTCCAGGGGGGAAGGCCGAAGGGGCGGGCCTTCTCATAAGGCGTAGAGGACCTCCGGCCTCCTGCGAACGCTTCTAAGCCTCATCCGAGGACACAGACGGTTTCTCACAAGGCTGGAGGGCTTCTGGAAAGCTCCGCCGCCTTCTGAGAAGGCTTGCCCCGCTCTCACTTCCCGCCTCGGCGCGCCGCCGACCATCTATTCCAATGACTTCGAGGCGTCCCTGAACTTTTATGGCAACGTTCTGGGCCTGGAAGTCGCAGGCAGCATCGGCGACGACGTGCGTGTCTTCTCGCTCCCTGGCGCGTACCTCGGCGTCGTGAAGCAGGGCGTATCTCGCGGAGCAAGACGCGACGTAGACATGAGCCATCGGAGCTATGCGCGGATGTCTCGGATCGGCGCTGGACGCCTCCCTTTCCTGGCGCACGGATGCAGCCAGGAGCGGCGCTGGAGGCGCCGCCACGGGGGCCACGGCGCCCATTGAAGAAGGGACCATGGGGAGAAGGCCCACCCAGGTAAGTCGCAGGTATAGAAACCCGTGGGAATAGAAAACCGAGCGTATTAGAAACCAAGGGTATAACAGAACCAAAGGATATCAAGCAACCAGGGGTATACACACAAATTCCTTGGCTTTTTTATACCCGACGGATTCTGTTAAACCTGGAGAAAAATCTTGACTGGGTCACGCGGCATTGGCATTCGAGTGTGTTGGTGCAGTCCCTAGCCAGCTTGTTTCGCTAATCGACGTGAGTTTCGTTGGATACGTTTGGCTGTATTTGGACGTCGACTAGCTGCCCAGCTGGGGTGCACTCGGAATGCAGTGCCCTGAGCACGAGGAATGCAGTGCCCTGAGCACGTGCAGTGCCCTGAGCACGTGCAGTGCCCTGAGCACGCGTTCTGCTGATGAGGGCTCTGCCCGCACGCGAGAGAAATGTGCGCGGAGCTTCGACATGTTACGGTGGGGGCGTTGGCTGAGGAATGTGCCCAGGAGGCTTCAGACCCTGGTGGTTTCTGATAAGGACGGCGGTGATATCCATGGTCAAGCCTCGGTTGGGCTTCCATCGACTTCCAGACCTTGAGCCCCTTCCAGTCAAGACGATTGAAATAAGGACCATTTGGGGCTTGGGAGGGGCTCTGATTGTTGGGCCGCTCCTTAAGCTTCAGGGCGGGGAGCCTCTTCTTGGCCGAGGCTCGCCGCGGCCTCAGAAGCCCCGCAGCACAATGGCTGCATCCAATGGCTCTTCGATGCCCTCACAGTCTGCTTCTACCGTTTTGTCTTCCTCGAGCATCGGCCGCCTCGCGCCCGCCCCGCTGTGCCGCAGAGAACGGCGACACCTGTATCGTGGGCCTGCTCTGCCCGAGCGCGGCGCAGGTGGACGCGCTCCACGCGAGGCTCCAGGCGGCCGCCTCAAGGGGCCTCGGCGCCGTGGACGCGGCGCCCGCCCGCAACGACGCCTTCGGCATCTACAACGCGATCGCGCGCGACCCCAGCGGGTACATCGTCGAGGTGATGGCGTTCCTGAAGCCCGACTTCCTGAAGCCGCCCCGCGCGAGGCTGTGAGCGCAGGCTCGCGAGCACATCTCGAAGACCAGACAAGCGGCACAAGCACAACTGTCTGGAGTTGCGCTCGGATTTCTCGGATCTTCGCTGGGGTCCACCTGGCAGTGCCTCCGGCGCCGCCCACACGCTCCGCGCGCCCGGGAGGGGGCCCGGCGCCGATCCAAGAGATCCGCGCGAAGCTTCGAACGTTCATGGTTATGCCGTGTGCTGTTCCCTAACATCGTTGAGGTGATGGCGTTCCTGAAGCCCGTCTTCCTGACGCCGCCCCGCGCGAGGCTGTGAGCGCAGGCTCCGCTTTCTTGACCGTGCGCCCAGCGTGCCTCGCCGCATCCGCCGCAGAAAGCCTGGTGCGCGCCGCCCTCACCCGTCGGGCGTTTGTGCGCGGGGGGAGGGACATGGTGAATATGATGAGCGGGGGGTGGAGAAGCGTGCTCCTTTTTAACACCTTTTGAGGCCCGCTGTGGCAGTTTGGACGCCGCTGGGGCCCCTCCCAGGCATCCTCGCGACGTGAAATGATGACGACGAGAGGTTTTCGGTAATTGTCTGCATCTGGGAGCCCTCACAAGGCTCGGGTGCCGCCAAACACCGACCCAGGATGAGAAGCTGGTCCCGAGGAAGGAGTCCAGACGTTTGCAATCCTCGATTCCCCCCCCGGTTGTTGGCCCTCTCCCGCTGCCGAGCGCCCAGACCCCCGCAGCCAACACCAGCGCTGCCCCTGCTCCTCGTCGCCCACCGCAGCTCCTCACCCCGTTTTTCCCCCTCGGCGGGCTATCGGGAAGAGCCCGCCGCGTCGGAACAGACGAAGGCGCAGCGGGTGGGCGGAGCAGGGAGGTGCTGTCAGGAACGTTTGCTCGATTCCGACGCACATTCCGATTCGATCCGATTTCCCGTTTCGATGGTGATTACGATCGGGACAGCGAGTCGCGCCGCCGGTTCTGGTCCGCTTCGGCGCCACACGCTAACCACGCCCCCGTCGCCAGGCGTCAACGTCCCGAGCCTCTCCCGGCCTCCCGCCCCGCGGAGTGGAGCGACGCGCCATCTGCTCGCAGGGTATAGCGCGTCGCAGGGGCCGCCGCCACGACACGCTCCCCCGCGACACGCGGACCAAGCGTTCCCGACCGAAGGGAACAGCAGTGAATGTGATGTTTGGTGGGGGCATGAAGTATGGATTGGCCTGCCTCCCAAGTTAAAGGGACAGGTCCGAGGCGAAGAGCGGTGACACGAGAGCAGGCGTACGGCAGAAGAAACGGGCGAAAATGCGGGCAGTGACAGTACTACGCGCCCGAGCTCGAAGCACGCCTGCAATAGGACCATCCCCGTCGGGCAAGGCCCTCGGCATGCGACAACCAAGTGTGGCCTAAAGTATGATGATCGAGAAAGAAAGAATACACGAACATGAGTTTTCGGAACTCTGCGCGGATTTATGGGATCTGCGCTGGACACCCCTCCCTGGCGCGCCAGGGGCGGCGCCAGAGTGGGTCCTGCGCCAATCCGAGAAATCTTCGCGGATCTCCGAAAGTTTTTGGGCATGCAGTTCTTCTGTTACTCCAGGTTCACTGAGAGGGGAGGCGACGGGAGGGGCTGTTGCTTATGCTCAGAAATAATGTTTTACCCCCCTGGCGATAGCCCGACGTGACCGAGGGGGGGGGGGGGGGAAGGCAGGGGGCCTGTCAAGTCACAGTTCGCGCCGGCGCCGTCTGAGGACGCTCGAAGCCCAGATGGCCTGGATCGTGACGTGAAGAGGGGTCGACTAGACGTAAGAGTGATCTTGCGCCGGAGTGACCTTCGGTGCGGGCACAGATGGGCCTTCAGATGGCTGAAGACGAAGCGGTAGCAGCGGCTTGCGCGCCCAGGTTTGGTCTCCCCGCGGCCCCCAAAAAGCCGCGCACCAAAGGTCACTCTTATCCAGGGTCACTCTTGCGTGTAGCCGAAGGGGGGGCGGGGGACGGGGCCAGTCACGGGCGTTCTATCGCGAATACTTGAGCAGGGGCTCTTATTGCGCGGCAGGCTCGCGCCGCCGCGACGCAGCGGCGACGCCACCGCGGCCGCTCGAGGCTGAGCAGGCCTTTTGAGGGACCGCGCCGGGTCCCAGGACACGCGAAAGACAGCCCAAGTCCGTGCGAGAGGTGGCGCCGACACCTTTTGTGCTCAGCGGGCCGTGGAGAAGGCAGGGCCTCCGATTGCGAAAACGGTAAGGAAATAATTGCCGAAACGAAGCAGATATTGCGACGGAATTGGAACCAAGAATTGCGACAGGACCACGAACAGATTGAAGACGGATCCAGAAGATTAGATTGCCTGCCGTCCCCAGGGCCCACCGAGCTTCCGCGGACCTCTCAGAGTGGAGATCGCTCAAGACTGAAAGGCTCACGCGGCGTCGGAATCGGGGGCGCTGGCAGGGGGGGAGGGACTGTCAGGAGGGAAAAAGCACGCATACACAATGATTCGTCGATCCCCAGGAAAATATTGGAAAATATGGGAAGTGGGGGGGAAGACAAGAACCCAGAACATGTAGGGAAATATAGGGAATCCTGTTATTTGTGTGTATTTATTTGTGTGCCCCAGGGCCCTTCAGACTGGCTCGGGGGGGGCAGCATCGACTCTTGATCGCGTCCTTCTCGCCGATCGGGGCCCTGCCGCGCCGCTCCGCCCAGGAGCGTGCGCCTTCGCTATCGGGAGCCTATCGCCGATGTATTGATGTATCGTTTCGAGCCAAGGTCGATGCTGCCTCCCTCGTCGGGCCATCCCCCCCATGAGACTCTTGTCAAAGATCGTTCGATCATTGAGCTCTTCACGACGGCGCTGGTCCCGGTTTACATGGGGCCAGCGTCGTGAAGGGAGGAGCCTGCAGTTGCTGCAGGCCTGCTGCCACACCCGTCCCCATCCGTTGGCAGGGCCCTTCGCTGGGGGGCCTGCTCACAGGGGCCCGAGCACGGGCGGGCAGGACGAGGGTGGGTCCCGCCGCTGTCGCCGTGAGGCAAGCGGGCCCCGATGGGAACGGCTGCTGTCGGCGGCGAGCCCGGGGGGGAAGTGAGAAGGAGAAGGCCTCAGAAGGCTCGGAAGCCCCGAGGGCCCGAAGAGATCGGCAAGGGGGCCCGAAGAGGGCCCGAAGAGGACCCCGGGATTGCCCAGGAGGCCCGCTCGGGGTGTGGGATGGGCAGCCCCAGTTGGTCGGGCGTCATTCGGCGGCGAGTTTGGGGGGGAAGCGAAAAGGAGAAGGCCTTCTAAGAAGGCTCGGAAGTCCCCCAGCCTTCTGAGAAGTGTTCCAAGCCTTCCCCGCAGGCACAGGAAACGTCTCAGAAGGCGCGAGGGCTTCTGAGAAGTCCCGCCTCCTTCTGAGAAGGCCTTTCCTTCTCACTTCCCCCCATCGCTCGCCGACGATCCTGAGGTCTTCCTCCGTTTTCGGCCTCCAGGGGCTTTCACGAGCCACATGGCCGTAACAAAAATATCATTCGGGAGGCAGTTGCCGCCCAGGCCACGGTTCATAGCACGAGTCTGTTCGTTGCAAGTCGGCTGTACGGTGTTTCTGGTTTGCCCAGCGACGTTTCGAATCACGACGTGGTAAGGTCACCAGTGGTGTCTTTGCGAGGAAAAACGAGTACTCTGGAGGCAAGGATGGTCCTTGGGAAGAGGCCAGGGGGATCAGGGCCTGCTTCCCCAAGGCTCCGATTCTTCCTCTGCCAACACCACGCAAAACTAGGAGGGGAAGGAGAAGGAGGCATGCTGGAAGAGTTATGGTTCGCTGAGGAGCCATTTCCAACGAATCACAACTTACCAGACCACCCCAACCCAACCTGAAGGTCCCAGACCCCCGCACAAGTCGGGTTGATGTGGGGTGGTGGGTAGTCAACGAAGTCACTACCCTAGGTCAGCTGTGGCGCTGCAGACAGGGCCTCGCCCCTTAGGAGTCGAGAGGTTGACATCTCTCCATCGGCGGACCAGACCGTTCCTTGCGCAGCCTCAAGCAGTGCAGTCCCGTGGAGATCCCCACGGCCATGATGACCATGAAGGGCGCCTTCATCTCGGCCGAGAAGGTGTTCAGTGAGGTTTTGAGGGCAGCAAGCGCCAGTGCCATGTCCAGCAAAGCGCCCCGAGGCAACCTTGCTCGCAAGCTGGGAGGAGGTATGCGCAGGTAGTAATGCTTTGGGTTGTGTTTCAGTAGGTATCTTGAGTTACCGTGATTGGGGGGGGCCGTGCGTGGGGCTTCGGGGTGGAATTATTTCGTGTGGCCTGGTCTCCCCCTCACACTTGCTTGAGCCTTGTAACTTTCGCTGGAGTCGAGCCGTGCCCCCTAGCTGGCACCGAGGCTAGGTACATCAACCACCGCGCATGAGCGACTCCCGACTGCACGAAGCAAGAGTCATGTGTGGCTGTACGTGGCCCTCACCAGGGCAAGCATCGAAGCACAGCGGGATGAGGCACTGTTCTTGAACCGTGTCGTGGTCGCCTAAGTGGCGCTGAGGGAATGAATGAGGGGGATGGGGAGGGGGAGGGGGAGGGCGAAGAGGAGGAGGAGGAAGAGGACAAGGAAGAGGACAAGGAAGAGGAAGGAGTATGAGGATGATGATGATGATACTGCTGCTGATGCTGGTGGTGCTCATGATGATGTTGGTGGTGATGATGATGATGAGGCGGAGGAGGATGAGGAGGAGGAAAAGGATGAGGAAAGGATGAGGAGGAAGAAGAGGAGGCCGAGCAAGGGGCGGGACGAAGGTTTCCGCCAGAGCGAGAAAGAAAAGGCGAAGGAAAGAGAGGAAGAAGGCCTCCATTATCACGAGGACGATAATGAGGGTAACCTTTAAACCATTCAGGAGGATTCTCATTCGGGTCTCACCGTCGGATTAATTCAGTACGGGGACCCTGGACGTCCTAACATAACCCTTTACTCAGGACCGCCCTTTCATCCTGAGTAGTTTGTTAACGGTCCTGGGGCTATGCGGTGGCCCCAGGAGGCCAAACGCGGCCAAATATTTGTTTCACGACACGGCCATGTTCGGGGC